CCTCCTCTTCCTTCCTTTCCTTTCTCTCCTTTTTTTTTTCCTTTCTTCCCTTCATTTCTTTCTTTCTTTCTTTCCTTCTTTCTTTCCTTCTTTCTTTTTTCTTTCTCAACCGACAATTCCACTCTCTTCTCCATTCTCATGTAAAACTTTTATATGAGAAAATATTTACCCTAATATAGCAACATGTCCAAACCGTTTGACCCGGAAACCGGTAAATAAAACAATTCAATTTCTGGGTTGGTTTTTAAAATATTGGTTTTATTTTTGATGCATACTTATTTTATTTATAAATAAATGCCAAATTACCAATACAACTACATACACTACACATAGAAGGGGCTGATTGGAGAAACACTAAATTGACATTTGTATAACGGGGTGGAATGGGAATGGGACATTGGATAAGAAACTTCACATACTTTTTTTATTTAAATGCCTTATTGGATAAGAAAATTCACATGCTTTTCTGATTTAAATGTGTTTTTTATAGATAGATAAAAAACTAAATGCTTGGCGAGGCCAAACACTTTCAGCAATAGTGACATTTATATATACACTGAAGTAAAATTTTCTATATCAGATTACCCCAATTGAGCAATTCTAGAGGGGGTGCAAGATTCCCTCTAGAAGCCCATGGACTTGCCACCTATCATGGCAATCTCTTCCATTGATTTAGAAAAAAAAAAAAATTATCACAATTCACAGTTGTGATATAATAGGAAACTAACCATTCACGCATCTCTCTATCGAACTATATTCTAAATTTCTAACCATTCACGCGCCTCTCTCTTTTCATCACATCCTCTTCCTTCTTCCCTCTTTTCATAGCATTCTATAGAGAATAGGTAGTAGAGGTGGATTCCTATTTCCCACATTCTACAAAGAAGAGGTGGAACAGGTCTCCCTCTATTCCTCTTCCTCATCGTTTTTTTTTTTTTTTTAATTTTGCTCCGATCGTCCCTTACATTTTGGACAAAAAAAATGGAGCAAAGAAACTCACTACGAAGCACCTCCTTCTTCTATGTTTTCATTGCATTCTTCATGGTCCATGTGGATTGGTTTTGATAGAAATAGTGGGCAATGACACTGTTAGATCCCCTTGGCAGTAAAAACAGGGGCTCCAGTGCATCGTTAAAATAGGGGCTCTACCCCATCGTAAAGTTTTGATGCACTACTAATGATTCTTTTTTAATTTTATTTTTTTTCACTAATAATGACTTAAACAATGGACATTCTCTAAGTATGTTAGATAATTGATACTCTCCATGTATAGTTTTAGATTTTTTTCATAGAACCGAGGCTTCTCCTTCCTCCAAACGAAAATGACCCAGAGAAAACTTATATATTCACTGTGTACAGAGGGTTTCCTCCAATTGTTGTGTCATATTGGATGATTCTAAGAAGGTTTTTGGTGGTCATATTGCCTCAGTGCACTTATTGATTTTGAGGTAGCATTTCTCCCTCTTCTAAGTGGAACAACTCAGAAAACTTATAGAGTCGCCATGCACGAGGGTCTCCATGTTATGCTGGCTGACTCTAGGATGGTTTTCGACAATCTTATTGTCCCAATGCAACTGCAACTGGTTGCATTCTCTATCAACTCACCATAAAGAAATGTCCCTCTTAACCTAGAACTCAGAACTCGCCAAAACTCACCAAAAAGAAACATCCCTTCTATTTCAACAAGATTTCTGTGCCTGGTTTTCCTCAATGTTTGTTATGCAATAAACCTTTGTAGTCTGTAACTAATTGGAGTGTTAATGGTCTGCTGAATTGCCATTAGTTGGATTGCCGGTGGGTGAAGGTTGCAATTGCAAACACCAAGTCTCTTCGAGTGTTTAAGGCCGGACAGGTATCATGTGTTTTGAATAGATTCCGTTTATTAAATAAATGTTTGTACTTGATTTGTCGTCAAAACCGAGAAAATGTGGTTGATAACATTCTTTTAGGATTTGTTGACAACTAGACGCCACATCAACGGAACAATAAATAAACGCTTTTGTGTTGGGGGAAGCATTAAAGTAAAGTTTCCCCAAACGGTTGGATTGCACATAAATCAAGACAAGAATTTATCAATAAATATACATACAAAATAACATGATGGGACAAATGCTGATTTGACAATGACATGGCACTGTTTATCAAATAAACGGAAGCCATACCAAACACCGCCTTAATGAGGAATTTTTGAGGGCTTTTCTTAATGAAGGGTTGGTTATGTGTTCGTTCTCTAGCACTTAGAAGTCAGAATGTTTTTATTCAATAGTTAAATATAATAGCTTGGACTATTCAATTTAATGAAAATAATTAATATTTACTAATATTTATTGGGTAATAGTAATTAATAATTAACACCAATATTAATTGCCAATAATTAGCAACAATTCTATTTATTAAATGTTCTTTTATTTAATTTTTTAATTACTAGAAACTATCAAAGAATACGAATTATTCAATTTAATAATTAAAAATAGTATGTCAGACTATTCAATTTAATCATTTTACTAGCAAGATAGTTAATATCTACTAGTATTTATTGGGAAAATAGTAATTAGCAACAATTCTATTTATTAAATGCTCTTTTGTTTATTTATTGAATTACAAGAAACTATCAAAGAAAATAACTCAAAATAAATTATTGGTATTTATTGATAAATTTTGTAACTTTTTAACATTAAAAATAAAATGATAAACAATAAATTACTAGTATTTATTTATTTTTTAAATTATTAGAAATTATAAAAAAACACAAAATAAAATACCTGCATTTTATTGATAAAATAACCCAAAATAAAATACCAGTATTTTATTGATAAAATGACCCAAAATAAATTACAACTGTTCATTGATAACGAAAATTACCAGAATTTAACATTATTATTAACATCTAGAAATTAATTTATTATTAATTATCACATAATAAATTATTTGTGATTTATTGTTATTACCAAACAATGCCAAAAATTAAAAGAAGTTATTTGTAATTACTAGAAATTACCAAAAATTAGCAGATTTTTTTTTGTAATCACCATAAATGATATGTCATTATTAAATAAAAATTATTAGTAAATTATCTAAAAAATACAAGAGATTATCAAACATGGCTAAGAACTAGAAAATTAATATAAATTGCAATGTTTTTTTTTAATTTATTAAAAATTTTCAAAGAAGGTAATGGTAGATAATTTTTACTTTTCAATAAATAATCATTAGCTTTTTAAAATAACGAGAAATTAGTAATAGCTAACATTAAGTTAGTGATAATTAGGAGAAATTAATTACCAAAAATTATTAGTACCCTCAACTTTGGGGGTAGTGTCAAGTTACTTAATGGTAAATTATTAGTAATTACTATAAATTACTATAATTTTTTTAAAATTACAAAATTATTAACGAAATTTATTTGTAATCACCATAAATTATCTTTCATTATCAAATAATAAATTATTTGTGATTTATTGTAATTACTAAAAGGGAAAATTCCACTTTAGTACCCTGAACTTTGGTGGTAGTGTAAAGTTAGTACTCGAATTATCAAATGTGTCACTACAATACTTAAACTTTCAAAAGGTGTCAAGTTGGTCCCTACCGTTAATCAGCCGTTAGTTATCGGTTCGGGTTGACGGTTCTGAAATTACAAGAACAACGGTTCAATGAAAATTCATCATTGAAAATTCTCAAATTGTACTGGTTTATAAGATATATACATACATACATACACACACACACACACACACACACACACACATATATATATATATATATATATATATATAATGTTAAAAAGTTACAAAATATATGTATATATATAATCTTATATATCTTATCTGCCACTCGCTTTCGGGTCGACGGTTCGACCGTTTGGTTCGAATGGACGACCCATTCGGACAACAAAAATTACAAGCAAAAAATTGAGTGTGTGAGGTCCATTAAGTGGTAGTATACGTGTTATGTCATTCGAGCGTGTGACTCATATGACTTGAAAACGGAACCGTTCTGACCACTGATTTTTGGGTTGATGGTTTGACCATTCAGTTTGAACAAATGACCCATTTTGACAGCAAAAATTGAAAGAAAAAGGCAAAAAACCATTGAATGAGTCAATGGGTCGACGGCCACCCGGGTCAATGGGTCATTGACCGATTCAACTGTTTTTAGCTAGAGGCCGGGATTGGGATAAAACGGAACTGGTTGCTTGGACAGTTCCCAATTAAAAAAAAATGGCAAAAAACCATTGAATGGGTCAATGGGTTGACAGTTTGACCACCCGGGTCAATGGATCGTTGACTGATTCAATGATTTTTGGCTAGGGATCGGGATTGAGGTAAAATTGAATTGGTTGCCTAGACGGTTCCTGAGCCAAAATGTTCGTCTGTCCGTGTCCGAGTCAACGATGGCTTGATTTTCACTAAATGATTTTTATGCTTTTGAATTATTACTATTCAAAAGTATTTTTTATTGTGGACTTTATTTGATTTTCACTAGTTGATACCTAAAATTAAATTAAAAATAATAAAAAAACAGGCTTCCTAGGCTTCTGCCGGTCCATAACAAATGGACAAAAACAATATTTGAGGCCCATCTAGCAAATGAGAAAAAGTTAAAAACAAATAACACGCCCGGTGGGATTCGAACCCACAATCGCCTGATTAGAAGTCAGGCGCCTTATCCATTAGGCCACGAGCGCCGTTTACCATAATAAAAAAGTAGGAGAATTATCTTTCTGTACACTGCCGGCCCATAAGAAGAGATTCGAGAGATATAGAACAGAAGCAAAATTTGAGGCCCATGTAGGGACGAGTCGACGAATAAAAGTTGTAAAATACCATTCACGCCCGATGGGACTCGAACCCACAATCGCCTGATTAGAAGTCAGACGCCTTATCCATTAGGCCACGGGCGCCATCGTTTTCTTATTAGCATTCATTGGAATATTAATTATTATTTCCCCTAAACCCTAGACCCTAGTGGAAAAATCTGTTCTCGCTTCTCAGTTATTTTGAACCATACTTCATTTTTCGCTCGTATAGTCGTCGTAGAAGAGTGCAGCAGAAACAGAAGAGGAGGATATGATCTCCTGCGATTTGTAAAACAGTCATCGTCACGTTTAAGGAGGTGGGTTTCTACTTATTTGTTTTTAGTCAGTATTAATAATGGAGGTGGTGATAGCGTCGTCTCCCGTCGACGCTGGGATTGGTTGCTGGGACTTGCATTCGGGCGCAGAACAGCTCCGTTACCGATCATGCACCTCTACTCCTCACGGCCTAGCTTGCGTTGGTCAACGCTTTCTTGCCTCTTCCCAGCTTCGAGACTCCTCTTCGTCATCGGGCTCCATTCTCTACTGGTCCTGGAGCAAGGTCTCTCTCTAAATCCTATCTCCTCGTCTGTATCTCTTTTATTTCTCTCTTTTGTTCTTACTTTCTGGGATTCTTTAACCTTTCATTATCATCTTAAATGATATGCATTTAATCATTTTATTTTGTTCTTTCTCTGAAGAGAGAAAAAAGAGCGATTTGCGTACTAAATTGGTCAGTCAATCCTGTTTTTAGTTGCAAATTGGCTTGTTATTGTGAGATACCTTATTCTAATAGAAAAAGGGTAATTGGGCTTATTTTTTATTCTGGAAATGGGCACTAGACAAATTTTAAATGTAAATGCAAGTGATGTATATTGCTTGTCAGCAAGGATGAAATGACCAGGTTTTATTTATATAAATATATCTTTTTATTGTCTTTCTGTTTCAGCCTCAAGTTGAAGTTAAAAGTTTTCCTGCTGAGCCAATCCACCCACTTGTTTCCAATAGTGATGGGATGTATATTATTGGAGGAGGTTCATCCGGGGCAATTTACTTTTGGGAGGTGAAATCTTCTCATGTACTTTCTATTTTATTGTTATGCATGTAAAATTTACGGATTTGTGAAATATTAATGTGTAGAGACGTAATTCAAGTTTTTCTTAATCTGTTTATTCTATTAAATATTTTATGAACCAGGTTGCAAGTGGCAGACTTCTTAAGAGGTGGCATGCTCATTACAGGGCTGTTACTTGCTTATTTTTGTCCGATGATGAATCCCTTTTGGTTTCTGGGGCAGAGGATGGGTGTATCAGAGTCTGGTCTCTTTTCATGTACTTAGTTCCTTCTTGTTTCTTGTGTTTTTCCCGAAGTTTATTTATTCCTATTTCTGAGTTTACACCCTTAGTTTTCTTAATATATTTTTCTCTTTTCAATTAATATGACAGGGTTTTTGATGATATCGGAATGGAAATGGCAAAAAACCCATATGAATATAGTTTCTCTGAGCACACTCTGCGTGTGACTGATATGGTTTCTGGTTATGGAGGATGTAATGCAATCATTGTATCTGCTTCTGAGGATCGAACATGTAAGGTTCGGTAGGTTCTTAGTTGTTGTATCTTGGTGTTAATTTCTTTAGTCATGCATCACAACTAAAATGATTGCATACTTGCATGTGATATTCTCTGTACAATTAAGGATTTCAGTTCCAGGTTTTTTTTATGGTCATGCTTTTATGTAGCTTTAATATCCTTGAGGGTTTTCTAAAATGATTTGAAGTCTCATGATTTTACAAAAGATATATGGACCTTGATAGATTGGAACAGTGATACTGTATTTGCTAGCTTACCCCATATTTTTGGGATTAGACTTTCTTTCATTGAGTTGATCAATTTTATTTTGTTCTCTATAGGAGGGAAATCATAAATAGTGGGTAGAACTGTTACAATTGTGTAACCGTGTGCACAGGAGGTTGGAGGTGGGGAGTAGAAACATTTTTTTATTGTCCTATCAAATTAACTAACTCTCCTTTGCTGGAGTCTTCACAGCAGTTTTCTACCACAGCTCGATATGCAGACTCTAGTGGCTGGTGTTCCGGGGGCATGTTTAAATGCAAAAATACACCTCTTCTGATTTACAATAATTTCTTTGTTCTAAAGGTGGAATGTTCCAGTTATCTTTTAGTGCTCTTTTTGACCTTGTGGTTCATTAGTCTTCATGATGCGATTTTCTCACTCCATTTCTGGATCAAACATCAAGAAAAATAATTGTTATTATATGCAGACATGCAGAGATACAAATAGGTCTCGCTAACATTCATTATGTTGGTACTTAACCTTCATAAGAGATTTTTTTTTCCAACTAATTTGTCCATTACCCCTCAGTCATTTGTACATAAATGGAGTGAGATAAGAAGACACTAATACAAACTTACAACCAACAACACAAGACTAGAGACAATTATCAAAGTGAAGACCCAAGAGCACCATTTCTGGACACCTCCACCACCTCTATGACCTCTGAGACCACACAAGACCTAGGCAACCGACTCTTAATCCTCCCCTTTGAACACTTCCACTTGTCTGTCAATATACTCATCCCACATCTCTCCTCCCTCCCCAATTACCACTTTGGCTTTGTTCATTTACCAGTATCTCATGTGGGGTGGGGGGGGGTAAGTTGTTCAACCAGGTAATTGACTAATTTCCCCATGTTCGAGTGTTGGTATAATGGGTCCCACGGGAAGGTTATTTTTCGGAGAGTAGCAATTCCCTGGGTAACTGACTCTCTTGGGGGGTGGGTAGGTTGATTACCCATCCACCAAAAACGTTAAAATCTCCCACCTCTGTCTTTGCTTGGGTAAGTTGAAATGTAAACGGACATTGACACTGCAATTTGCCCCGATAAATCTTGCTCAGGAACGATCCCTTTCTTCAAACTTTCTTCCCTCCTCTCAAACTCTTCCAAGGCCTTCGTAGCAAGCTCCTCCCCTCCCCTCAAAAACAAGCCAAAGCTTTTTCCAACTGCAACATCTTTCTCCATAATTTTCTCAATAGGAAGCTTTCCAGACCTCTCCATCTGATCATCAAGACCTTTATCAGGATCTCTTGTTTCAGAACTGGAATCAATTCCATTGTCTTTTTCATGCTGAAAGGTTCCCATCTGAGAGACTGAACCGTTGTTAACCTGAAAGTCCACACCTCCACCATCCTTGAATGTTGGCACTGTTGTCTTCCCCCCCTCCTCTTTTTGTAGTTTTTGTAGGTCCTGCCCCTACCAAACTGAGTTTCAGCCGAGAAAAGACCTTGGTTATGTGGACGATGTGCATATTCCTTGCTCCGCAAGATTTCTTGGGAACCACCTCTTCAATTATTACCACGTCTTTCTTTGCCGCCCTCCCTCCCAAATCCACATCTAACTTTCCAATCACCACTTCCTCAAAAGGATTATGAATGGCATCAGAGCATTCTACATGGGAAGATTCACAAGCAGTCATATTGTTATCCTCTCTTCATCCATTGTCATCTCCTAAAACCTTTCCAAATTCAGCATTGCCAACCCCTATTGCAACTTCCTCCATCCTCTTCCCCGACCTATCCTTTGCCCCATTAAAAATCTCCTTGGAACCACTATAAAACTTATAAAATGGCAATGCATCACAAAAAATCGTTCGGTAGCTAGTGGTGACATGTTTTTGGTGGTTGAATGGTTCTATAACTAATTCATGCATGGCTTTATGCAATAGCAATTCTTCACTGAATACATGAAATAACACTAAGATAAATATGGGAATGGGCATGTTTGATTGATTGGGTTGGGCAAGAAAGACTATGCAAATCCAATAAAACAGTTACCAACTTACAATATGTGTTTTAAGCTGTTAAAGTTTGAAATTTTTGTATATATACACATGCATAAATCATAGTTATCAATATGTAATAATGTAAAGGAGATGCTAGTTGATAATGTAGCACCCTGTCATTTATGCACCCAGATGGTGGTTTCAGTTCTTATTATTTTTTTATTGAAAACAATTACAAATTTACATGTGATGGCACACTATGGCATTAACTATTAGCAATATCACTTGAAACAAAAAATATATATATTCCATGCACAATTTACAAACAATTTAAACAATTCATAACTTATAAGAAGAAATAGCTATCTTAATTCTGATAAAAAATGGATATCTTAAACTAAAATAAGTAGCATGCAATTTAAACACTTATCCTAGAAATTTCAGTTAAACACAATTTAACACATCATGTATTCACACTTCCTGTTTTCCTAAAACCTAGGCCTATGATATGCTAACACAGATGATGTATGATAAATGGTACATTGGAGTTGATCTTAGATTATCTCAGATCAATAAAGTATCTTAAAGGTCAGAATATTTTTTCTGCTATATGTTTCTTTGTTGAATATCGGTGCTTTCCTGTTCCACCTTTTTTTTTTTTTATCAGCATGCCTTCCCGTTCCACCTTATTAAGTTGGATTCACAAGCTTGCCTTGTTGTAAACTTTTTTATTTATTTTTAATGGGGGCAGAAATAACCATATAAGTCCAAGAAACTGTCTGTTGACCACATTCAGGGAAAGGCCCTATTCATGATTCAATGGATATTAATGATTATACGTTATAAATAAGAAAATACAAGTTCTGCTATAATTTCATATCATAAAAAAGTTAATATCAATAATGAATTTGAATTACCGAGAGAACTCTTTTGGAAGAAGAAGCCCCAAAAGCAATTTTGGTTCTGTTTACCAAAATTCAAACTTCTGAATGCAGATGAACAGGCAATATATACAGTGTTAATATCTGGGCTGATTGTAGAAAGAAGCCAGAAAATTCCAAAAAAAAAAAAAAACTCCAGAGCAATATGTGCAGTGTCAAAATCTGGAATACTTTTCTTTTGAGTATCATACTAGTCTGTGAGCTATGTAAAATCTATGACCTAACAATTAAACCTTTTTTAATCAATTCTATCTCAATTACACCTTGTATAAATTGATCCTTTTATTGTTTCTGTTACCACGCTGATCTGCATGGAAGAAAACAGTGACCAGAATAAAGGAGAAGACCTGCATTCTTAGTATTCCTTTGTGTGTTGCTTATTAAGCACCATGGTGTAAATGTCACAGGTTTGGAGCCTATCCAGGGGAAAATTATTGAGATCGATTGATTTCCCTTCTATTATTGAAGCAGTTGCACTAGATCCTGGTGAACATGTATTCTATGCTGGTGCTAGGGATGGGAAGATATATATTGCTTCTATTAATGCTGAAACCACTTCCAGCAACAGTTATGGAAAGCATATCATTGGCACATTATCTGATAACAGGTTTGTTGGTTTTCTTTTTTCATGTACAATTATTTTGATTTGTAGTGGGCATATTCATTTAATGTTCATCCTTTGCCATGGTCTAATGCCTAATGCTGTGGAACACTGAGTATATTAATGTAACATGCGCCCCTTGTTTTATCATTTACCTTTGGTGTGGTTGACTTGCAAGGCATGTATACTCATCATCAAATACTAAGAAGAAAGAAGAATCTAATTACTTTTTATACTTCCTTTGAATCTTTTGGAATCATGTTGTATTGGTATTAATTGTGGCCTTTTGCATTTGCATTATTCCCTATCTGCTTGACTGGTGCAAGTCCTTTCATATTGGTGTTTCTCTATGGCTTTCCACAATGGATTAATTAAAGGGAGTAACTATGGATGCAAAATAAGGGGGTAGGTAATTGCAGGATATGCACATCATAGAAGGTAGAATGCCCAAGAATGTGCTGCTCTAGTTAGCAGAAGCATTTTGGAACTCTAGGGGCTTCAAAGTTAGGGGAAGCTTTTAGAAGTTATTATCAAAGAAGAGAATAAGGAGAGAGAAGAAGAGAGAGAGAGGAAGATAGAGGATAGGGGGAAACGAGGAAGAGAAGAAGAAAGTGAATCATGAGAGAGCCAAAACTCCTGGTTAGCAACGCCAACATTAATATATACTATGTAGGGTGACAAAAAATAAAAGAACATAAAAAGACCAAAGTGCCCTTGCATCACATAGCTAAGAATATTGCATTATTCCCCCTCAAGTTGGGGCTTATATATCAATCATGCCCAACTTGTCACAAAGTTCATTATGCCGCAAGTGATTAAGACCGTTCGTAACTACATCTGCAAGTTGTTCTTTTGAGCTGACAAATGGAGTGCACACTTCTCCCTTCTCGAATTTCTCCTTAATGAAGTGTTTATCCACCTCAATGTGCTTTGTTCAATCATGGAGGACAAGGTTAGCTACAATATTGGTGGTTGCTTTATTTTCACAATAGAGGGACATAAGACCATCAACTTAAAAACCTAGTTCACCTAGCAAGTTCTTAGTCCATAGAAGTTAGGCAACTCCATGGGCCATGGTCCTATATTCCGCTTCTACACTAAACTTGGCCACCAAACTTTATTTCTTACTTCTCAAAGTAACAAGATTTCCTCCCTAAAGGCACAATAGCCATTGGTGATTTTTTTTTTTTTATTCACAAAACCAACCCAATCAGCATCATTATAAACTTCAACTTTCATGTGTTTATCTTCTTAAAGAAGAAGCCATCCTGGGATTTCTTAAAAGTGTGATGCCTTGGGTCCAGGCATGAATTGATTGAGGACACCCACAACATAAGCAATGTTAGGCTGAGTCATAGATAGGTAGAGAAGTCTCCCCACAAGTCTTTGGTATTGTTTAGTATCTTTTATAGGCTCATCCTTACAGCCCCCAACCTATGATTTACAACTATATGAGTGTTAGTTTTGCTCCCACCTTTCCTATATCCTTCAAGAGATATAGGGTGCATTTCCATTGGGAGATGAAGATTCCTTGTTGAGAGTAGGCAACTTCAATTCCAAGGAACAATTATATAAAAAAAAACTTAAACTCCAAGGAAGTAACATAATGGGCCTAGATCCTTCACCTCAAACTATATGGCTAAAAAATCCTTCAACTTGTCTATCTTTGAAACCCAATCACCAGTGATAGCCATGCCATCTACATAGATTATCAAGGCAGCCATTTTTCCCTGCTCAAACTATGTGGTTAAAAAATCTTTCACCTCAAACTGTTTGAATCCTATCTATAGCACAACCTTGTGGAATCTACTAAACCAATCCCTTGGTGACTATTTGAGGCCATATAGAGTCTTCTTCAGTCTACACACTTTCATTGCCCTTACCACAAAACATGGGTGGTTTGATCATGTATACCTCCTCCAAATGATGATTCAATAATGCATTTTTTTATAGGAGAACCCTAATAGAGTTCATCTTTGTCACTAGAGCAAAATTCTTTGCATAGTCTACTCCATACACCTGTATTAACCCTTTTTCTACCAAATGAGCCTTATATCTTTCCGTAGTTGTCAAGGCGACACCTAGGCAATAAGGCCCTTTGAAGCTTGCCTTGTTTAATCGCCAAACAATTTTGTACTTTCTATTATAAAATACTTTTTTATTCTTTTTTTTTGAGATTTTAATTATAACATATACATTATTTAACTAAAATATTCATTTTGTGTGTTTATATACTAATTTCTTTTTTATTATTTTCTTATTTGTTAGGGTTTAATCAACACAAACGTTGCTAAATGTTGTATTGAACCCTCAAAGACTTCAAAACCTGAACCACTAGGTAAGGAAGAACTTAAAATTTTGTCTAATCAACACATTTTCTTTTTCTTTTCTTCTTTTCCTATAACAAAAATAAGGGTTAAGCCCCTATATATTTTTTTGAATTTTCTTTTCTTTCTTCCTTTTCTTCTCATGAATTTGTTGATTTTCTATACCTTAGCATGGATTTTATGCTTTTCTTATGAAAATTATGAATAATCATTAAGGAAATATGGTTATGGTACCTAGGGAACTACCCTTGGATCTATGTTTTATACATAAAAAATATCCATCGCATAGGTGACGTGATAAGGCCCCACGGCCCAATATCAGTCCAACAACAAGCTCACAATAGGATCATCGATTCAGTCTGTTTATGTGTGAAGGACATGTGGCCTAAATTAGTTATAAACATGCAACAAACCACGTGAATAAATTCTCGTATTCTCATCGTAAGTAGCTATAAATGTCTCATCATGAGGACAATACAATCATTGCAAATCATTTGGCTATCCCCCTTTCTCTCTCCCCTTTTCTATTTTGGAGGTTGGGTCCCTCAAAGAACCCTGAGGTGGGCAGTAACCCACCATTTCTGGTATTAGAGCAGGCAAGCTGGTAACGAAGATGACGACAATGAGCTCGGTGATGGCTGACGAACGCGTGGATAGGCTAGAGATTGAGTTACATAAACTCTTTGGTGAGTTGAAGGAAATCCGAGAGATGCTTTCGTTGGTGGCGTCCTATTGTGAGAAGGCAACGACAGATGGAACGAGGGAGGATGAACAAGAAGGATCAAGCCAAGGTAGCAACCTGGCTCTGATACCATTTATTACGTGCCTTAGGAGAACTCACCCCTAAAAGCTAGCTGTTAGAGGGAGGGAACACAAGCACATATATACCCTAGAACAACATCCCATACTACCGATGTGGGATATCTCACATTAGCATCCCATACCACCAATGTAAGACAAATGGATCATAACATGACACCTTGAAAACTATGTATCTTTCTATTGTACAATCCTCCAATGCTTCACAAAGAACACCTGTTTTCACCCCATAGGGTAGGGGATAGATCATGAACGAAGCACCAACAACCAAAGACACACATGGGCCTTGCAAAACATGTGTGGTACTCCTGTTCCACCAAAGGTTAGGGCTTTCTGCAAAAGGTCAACACTTTTGGAATACTGGTGCCTATCCCCTCATGTCCGTTGCCTTTGCCTGTAGAATGGAGAGATAACGACTCATCTATTTATTTCCTGTCCTTTTACTTCTTGTATTTGGGGTTGGTTCTCCTTTCTCTTTGGTTGCAGGTAGACTCCTCCTTCGTCTGTGCGGAACCTTTTAGATTCTAGTTTCTTCTAGTTGCCAAAGAAGAGAGGTAGGGTGATGTGAAAAACAACAAGAATAGTTGTATTATGGTCAGTATGGGAGGAGAGAAATAATAAGATTTTCCAAGGACAGGAAAGAACCAAGGAAAACACTTATAGAGGGCATCACTACCAGGATCATACATTGGCTGAAAGCTTTGGAGGTTTTTAAAGACTTTTCCTTCATTGACTTCAATAGAGGATGGGGTGTCATAGCTGGTTCCTCATCTTTCTCCCCATCAGTTCAGGAAAGTTGGACCCTGCTGCCTTGTTCTAGAGTGAAACTGAATTTTGACGGAAGCTCTGTAGACAACCCAGGCCCCTCTGGAATAGGGGGTGTTTTCAGAGATGAGGGGGGTAGAGTGTTGGCCACTTGGCCCTGTAGGGGTGGGAGACTTCCTAAGAGCAGAAGTTTTTGCTTTACTCCAAGGTCTCAGATTGGCAAAGAATTAGGGATTACAATGGTTAGAAGTGGAGGGAGACTCCAAGCTAGTAATAGGCTGGCTGCAATCTAGAAGCTTGGGCATGTGGCTTTTCAGACATCAGCTAAGGGAAATCTCAAGCTTAGCTTAGTTTTGATTAAAAAAAAGAAATCTCAAGCTTAGCAAGGGAGTTTGGTGTGAGGTTTAATTGGGCAAGAAGATCAGCAAATGGTATGGCTGATGCTTTAGCAAAGCAAGGAGTCAATAGGCAAGAGTTTTTTTGGGCCTGTTTATGAGACAATTTGTATCAAAGGGTTCTCCATCTAGCCCTTGGATGGTGGCAATTGTAATTTTTATCCATTTTTATTAATGAAAGTTACCGTTTCCCATAAAGAAAAACCAAAGACACACATAGGTATAGGAAACAATGGAGCTTTAGGGGAGAGAAGTTGATGTGGAACCTTATATTCTAATAACCAAGATGGCATATGATTTATAATATAGGTAGTAGTCATAACATCATCCATCTAGAACCTTTTTGGTACATTCATGTGCAAAAGAATTCCCTGAGCCACTTTTATGAGTTGACATTTTTTCTTTTTGCAACCCCATTCTGTTGAGGGGTTTTGGCACAGGAGCTCTGGTGAAGGAGCCACATGAAGCAAAAAATTAAGTTAAGTTATCATGAAAGTACTCCTTTGCGTTGTTTGATTGAAACATTTGGATATTGGTTTGGAATTGCACAAGGATCATGCGTTGAAAATCTTCTACAAGTTTAGGAGTACACAAGTGTATTGAGAAGAGTCATCTATGGTTGTAATCAAATACTTGTATTCATTCTCAGTTGGAATATTTACAAGGCCTCAAACATCGGAGTACACAAGTTGAAAAGAAG